ATTATTAGCCACCTACCCGAGTCTCCCAACCGTATTTTTTAGCTAAAATTCAATGAGGAAGTTTGCAAAACATCTCTAGGATAATTTCTCTTCTTGTCTCCTCTTTTAACATTTAAAAATCTAGAGTTTTTCTCTCTTCAACATTCAAATTTAGGGTTTTCATCAAAATCCAATTTCAGGGATTTGGAATTTAATATCAATTAGATATCTGTGTGATAATTGTCAATCATTATGTGTAGATTGTTTTAATTGAAATTAAAATTCTAGGGCATAGAATGCTCATTTCTAGGATTTCGGGTTTTCATTTTAGTGTTTAGGGTCAAAATTATAGTTATACGATTATGAGATTGTTTGCATCTAAATTATTTAATTTTTTTGAATTTAAATTATATAATCTAATTTTTTTCATAGGTTGAACAATATGGTTTTTATTGCTTGCTCTTACGGTGGGAAAACTAATTATGGAATGGATAATATGCCAATGTACGTTGGAGGGGTAATAGCGCCGTTAATTATCTCATAATCATGTAGTTACTATGATTTGATTAAAGAATTACACCGAGTTATTGAAATTGATCCACGAGAGTACCAACTAAAAATAATATGCAATTGACCCTTAACTTTTGATAGAACGTTCGCGGTTGAGATCTCAAACGATCATCATATGAGTATTATATTTAATTTGAGCAAGTTACAACCAACGGTAGAATTATTTATTGAAAAGTTTCCATGTAGTTCGTGCCAAACGTTCAAACCTCCACGAGAATTCTCACGCATGTTAGATTTGGGAGTTGAGTCTGACGGTTTTCTTTTTTCTTCGAGTAAAATGGAGCGGGTTCAATTTCAATATTTAAGTGCACCTTTAATTGGAGGAATGTCAAATGTTATGAACAATGAAGCCCATTATGAAAATATGAGGCCGTTAAGAGGGGCATCAATTGAAAAGGATGAAAGAAGCAACGACTCTGAAGGTAAAGAACAAGATAGTGCACCAATTAACAGCATGCAATTTATGATTAAATATGTTGAAAAGAATCTAGAATGGCCTGATGAGGCTTATGATAATAATGAATATGTTGAGTATGAAGAGTCACCCCCCGATGAGTTTGAAGATGATGAGTGGACTAGTTCTTCCACAGTAAAAGATATTGGCATCGACCAAAGTTCAATTGATAGAAGAGATGAGGACTTCACTTTTAAAGTTGGAGATTTATTCGAGACTAAGGACCAATTGGTTGATGCTATTTGTGATTACTCTATCAAAAAGAATGTCAAATTCAAGCAAGTCAAAAGAAATCGCACAAGTTATGATACAATTTGTTTTATGAATACAGAAAGAAAAGGTTAGGCCAAGGAAAATGAAGCTGATTACGCATGTCCTTGGAAGTTATATGCATTTGCCGGAAAGAAACATAATAGGCATTTTAAAATTACAGAATACTACGGTGTTCACACATGTAGCAATCCAATATTAGAGCAAGATCATAGTGGTGCGTCTACCTCTTACATAGCGTGGTTGATTATGCCAAAGTTAAAGAAGAAGCTTGAACTAACTCCCAGTAATATAATTGATAGAGTGCTAGATACGATGTTTATTGAAATATCATATAGTAAAGTATGGAATGCAAGGAGAATCGCGATGACAAAAATATTTGGTGAATGGAAGAAGCCTTATGCAACACTTCCTCAATATCTTGATGCGATCAAAAGAAGCAATCCTTAACATAATACAAACTTATAACCAAAGAGATCAATCCAGGACTTCATCAATTCACCTCTATATTTTGGGCATTTGGTCCTTCGATCAAGGGATTTAAATTTTATTGGCCGGTTCTTAGCATTGATGGCACACACTTATATGGTAAATATAAAGGTATATTGCTTGTTGCTATAGGAGTGAATGCAGATGGTGATTTATTTCCTTTGGCTTTCGCGGTTGTAGAGGTCGAGAACAGTGAAAATTAGGAGTGGATTTTTGCATGTATTCAATTATATATTCTTAATGTGTTACCTCCTAGGAAAATTATTTTTATATCTGATAGGATGAAAGGTATTCCTAAAGCATTGTACAGAAGATTTGGCTCTCATCACTATCACTGTTATTGCTTAAGACACATTAGAGATAATTTTAAAAAGAAACATGGCCAGATACATTTATAAAACCTTCTTTGGCAAGCGGGCTGTGCACCCAAAACATGTGTGTATGACCAGATTCAGGATCAAATCAAAGCAACATCTCAAGCTGCACATGACTGGTTTGAGAGTAATTTGGGAAGTGAATATGTCGACCGATGGGCACTAAGTAAAGATGAAGGGAATCAGTTTTGCATGATGACAACTAATTGTTCTGAAAGCTTCAACGATGTACTTAAGGGAGCTCGAGCAATGCCCATACAGGCATTGGTTGTGATGACATTTTATAGAATCAATCACTATTTTATCAAGCGGCAAGAGGATGGAGCAAAGTGGGTGACGTTATTGATACCAAAAAATAAAGAGATTGTAGCATCTCCTGTCGTGCAGGCAAGATCAACAAAAATTGTTGGATTTGCTATAAATGAATGGCATGCTACAAACAAACACGGTCATAATTACACCTTCAATTTATGAGGAACACAATGCGCATGCACTTGCAACATACCACAATTGCAAAAATTACCATGTTCGCATGTTATAGCAATTTCGTCCAAGAAATTTGGGGGTGCAGATCCTTTATATTACATGTACGCTTCTGAGTGGTATCAATCAAGCCACTATAGAGATTCATACAAGCCATGTTTTTCATCTCATTGTAGATAATAATTACTGGCCACCCTATAACAGGCCTCATGTGTTACCTCCTGAACATAAGAGACAAGCCGGACATCTGCAATCAGCATGCATAAAAAGTACGATGGATGAAGAATGGGAAGGAGCTCCAAAGAAAAATATGTGTGGATATTGCAGACAACTGGGCCGTAATAGATCTCATTGTCCTACCAATCCGAATAGATAGCAATTAATGGGTACAATTTATTTAATTTATAATTTTATTCTACTTCATTTGTAAGTCATACTCCTATATTCTGTAATTTAATTCTAATTTCAATTTATCATATGTCATAATACTGACATATTTTAGCTTTATATATGCAGATATTTACAATATGTAGGCAGGACCATTGGCATATGGGATCCTATATAACCAAGATCGACACCGATCCTCGAAGATAAGACCTAGAGGAGGTAAATTTTTTATTATTTTTAATCATTTTAAATTTTCAATCTTATGATTGTTACGTGATCATTTAAACTATTTAATATATGCAGACCTTGAGTATTACTATTGTTGATCATACTCGTGCACATTCGAGTTAGGATTTGACGAATCCACAGGTCCAATATTATGTTCGTCAAGCAGGTTTTTTTGAATGTTCACAAATAAAATGGGTAAGACTCGATTGGCCTCTCTTGACTGCGTTGATTGAAAGATGAAGGCCCGAGATAAATACATTCAACATGCATCAAGGAGAGTCAACTATTACTCTGCAGGATGTAAGGGTTTTACTTAGCCACAAAGTGGATGGATACAGGTACTGATGACTTCAACTGGAGGGGAGTGTGTGAACGATTACTGGGTCAAGCTCCTAATATGAACGACGGTAAGATCAAGCTCGAGTGGTTACGAAATAAATACATGAATATACCGATTGACGCAACTGATGAGATCGTCAAGACATATGTCCGTGCGTATATACTCTATATGATCGGTATCATTCTATTTTCAGATTCAACTAAGGATTCAGTGCATGTTAGATGGTTGTCACTTCTTGAGGATCTTGAGGAGTGTGGAGAATTATCTTAGGGGAGTGCAGTGTTAGCTTATTCTATAGGGAGATGACAAAAGTGGCATTCGTGCAAAATAAAGAATTCAAATGTTGTCTCACTTTGTTACAAATATGGTCATGGGAGCGATGACACACTACCACATATTTGCTCTAACGCAACGGTTCAAAACCGTTGCGTTAGCTATGGAACCGTCGCCCTTGAACAAGTGCGACGGTTCTCAAACCGCCTCATATACTGCTGTTGCCCTACCTCTACCGTAACGGTTTTGAATTCTATTGCGACGGTTTTTTGAACCGTTGCCCCTGCATCTAACGCAACGGTTTTAAAAGGTAAGCGGTTTTTAAGCCATTGTAACGGTTTTGATTGAGCTATTGCGACGGTTTTTAAGCTATTGCAGCGGTTTTGATTGAGCTATTGCGACGGTTTTCAAGCTACTGCAGCGGTTTTTTTAGATATTACAACGGTTTTAAAAGACGTAACGCAACGGTTTTAGTAGGCTAAAGCTATGGTTTTGATAGAGCTACGGCAACAGTTGGAGTTATTACAACAGTTTTAAAAGACCTAACGCAACAGTTTGGATCAAGCTATCGCAGCGGTTTGGATCGAGCTATCGCAACGGTTTTGATCGAGCTATCGCAACGGTTTTTATCGAGCTATTGCAAGTGCTCAATCGAAGCTGTTCTTGGTTTCCTACGTCAAAATAATTATAATATTCAATTACCTGGACAATCTTTTTAAGAACATGGCCAAGTCAAATTTTAATACACAATATAAAAGTGATTATGTTGAGCATAATCAACCATAATGATAAGTGCCAACATACATCAGTATAGTATAAAAACTACAAAGTATTAAATCCACACTACCAACATTTCAACTCAGAAAATATCGTACCGAAATAACATTCAAACAATGTACATCAACATTTGATTACAAAACATGAAACTTCTGAAATTGGAAGGTGATATGTTGGCTTGCCAGATGATTAAAAGTCTCCCTCCTGACATTGGACACAAAAGTATAAATAAGTACTATTGAGAAGAGGAAGTGCACGACATGGGAACATTTCTGAAAAATAAATACCTGGTGATATCATAGACTAATAGTGCGCCTGCAGCTCCTCTGTAATAGGATCTTGTAATGGATCTGAAGGATTCTTGGCCTGCCTATAATGTTAGAAACTTCAAGTCAGATGCATATAATAGTTACGAACATATAATAGCTAGAGATAAACCAATGATAGAAGCAGAGAAACATTTACATGTATATACCGAATCACAGGACAAAGAAAGTGATAATGTGTTACAAACATTTATAGCAAAAAGTTCATTAAGAAGGCTATTTTTTTTACAGCATAAAAAAGAAAATTCAGCATAAAATTTCATAGTACACTGCTACATGTCCGAAGTTGTAATCAGTAAGGATAAATCCCTTGTACAAGTGCTAGAAAGAAAAGTTCAGTTAGGCAAATTAGATATTTCCAGAATATAAATGATATTGGAAATAAAGCTTCCAATTTAAGACAGAAATTTAGCTATCCTATTCGGTTTCAGAATTTGGGTTCAACTCGATATAGTTATTATACATATTCATGGTCTGAGAAACCTCTGAAACCAAAGAGCTGAGCTCTTGGGATATCTCTCTAGGTTCTTGTAATCCACATAATATAAGCCAAACCTAAGTGTGTATCCAAATGACCATTCAAAGTTATCGAACAGTGACCACACGAAGTATCCTTTCACATTCACCCCTTCCCTGCAATATTACGAACTTCTTTTTTTAAATAATAGCACATGGCGTGAAAAAACCTTTTAAGCCTTCAATTGACAGTTACTCAGCATTTTGAATATTTGATATACCTGATAGCCTTATGTACTGCATGTAGATGTTGTCTGTGGTAGTCAATTCTTACGTCATCATTCAAGGCATTCTGTAATACTAGTGATGCATCGTTGGTCTCATCAACACCTATAAGAAATCAGCTTGTAAGATTTCTTCGAATCACGCAAATTGTAATGTAAACAACTGGGTTATCGTATTTGATATACCTGATAGCTAATTACCATTCTCTGTAATGTAAACAACTGGGTTATCGTATTTGTTCTTGATGTATCGAAGGAGTTCTTTTAGTCCAGGAGGGTAGATGTAGAGCCAGTCCGAGGCAGCCTGTAATGCATTATCAAATCTTACTTACTGTATATATAAACTTAGAGGTATTCTACAATATAGTACATGAATTTCATGCTTTAATTCAAGTGAAACTGTGACATATTAATGTAAGATATCGAAGAGAGGCCATAGGATAATATAGTACAGATCAAGAGAAGAAAAACAAGAGAAAGGAAAGCAAAATTTAGGCATCATGAATACGCATACGTTTCTTTATGATCGATAAATAAATTTTTTTCTCTATTGAAAGCTGAATTGTAGGGAATGCAAAAAGTTAAAAGTCTGCACCTTGAAAGAAAGAAAAAAAAAAGGGAAAGAAAGGAAGAACATTGTTGTAGGTCAATGCTGGAATACAAACTTTTCAGACGCTCTTGATAAATTCTGGATCAACAAGTATGGTCTCCTTTTTGGCCTCAATGTATTTCAGAAGGCTATGTCATTATTGAGCATGTGCAACATGCATGGATACTTACATATTTTGACCTGGATATATGCTCTAAACATGCACAGAGAGTGTCTACTAAGTTGCCGACCTAAGCTGTTATTCTTATTTTGGTTAACTTCTGAATTAAAATGAGCTTTCTTCACATATGTAGGCACATAGCCCTACAATCCACGGGCATTATATAAGCCCATCATTGTTAATTGCTCAGCTACCATACTGTCTCATCAAACTATATGAAAACATACTTGATAAGGTTCATATCATAGACTTTGGTCCTGATCAAAGAGCTACAAGATAAAGACTAGGATTAGACTTAAATCTTGTTGCTTCTCTTACATATGGAGGTGTAGATGGGAAAAAGAAGATTATAATGACAGTGATCACCTATGGTGTGTTTGGGAGTTTACTTAGGGAAGGGAAGGAAGGGGAAGGAAGGGGAATTTTTTCCCTTCCTCCCCTTCCCCTCCATTACACCCCAATTTGGGGTGTAAGAATTTGGGCCAAATTTCCCCTCCATTCTCCTCCTCTACCCTACAAAATGAAACTCCCAAACAAGGTTAAAATGAAATTTCCCTTCCCTTCCCCCTCTCTACCCTCCATCCAAACAGGCCACTAATCTAGATTATGGTGCAATAGATAGAAATGCCAAAAGCAGGAGACATTTTAGGCAAATAGCACATATGAAGGCCTATTGGTTTAGGAAGTTAAAGTTAAGTCTCTCAACTTTCTATCTGTTCATTAATGTATTATCAGAATCACAGGCATCAAAATTTCTTACTAATTTTCTCAAAATTCAAATGTTGATTGGTTTTTTCTGTTTTGCATTCTTGTAGGAAGACAACTAGAGTCAGGGTTTTCACGAGAGAAAAACATCAAGGCAGTCTCTGTGAGTCAGACACGCATGCCCTTGTGAGAAAAGAAACTAGAAAATCTATGATTAATGAGAAAGAATGTCTAGTGTACTTATGCAGGCAGTAACTTAAGATTTCATCGCAACGAAATGTATGGACAGCTGAACATTTTCCAAAAGTAAGCCCAGAAGGACATCCTTTTGTTTACACAAGGGTGTCATGCATTTAAGAATGTAATGAAATCAAAGAAAGTAAATACCTCTCCTTTTCCCAAAGTAAGCCCAGAAGTCCAAGATAACATTTTCCCCAATCTCTTGTAAAGCAGGAAATAGGACATCCTTTTGTTTCTTCAACCAACACTGAAGTCAAGCAAGCAATCAGAGTTCAGGTATTTTACAGTAAGTTGAGATGTCACAATCTGGTGCAATCATAACCCAATCAAAGAACTTCTAATAAGTAAATTGTAATAACTAAATTGCAACAAGAGAAACTATAGTACTTAGTTAATACATTTAAGATTAACACAAGCAACACTAAACATATAATATAAAAGAATACTTCTGAATCTGCAAGTCTAGGTTGATTATGTTAATACAATTTTAGGATATGCTACGCACCTTTTTTTTTGGTTATGTCCTCAATCAACAACAATCAATGAACCTCAGATATCAAACCATAATTCACACATTGGTTTTGAATTTCCCAAATCTTTTAACTTTGGAGTTATTTGAGGGTACAGATAGATTATTAGCAGAACAATGATGAATGCTGATATGATGCAGAAAAGAGTAAGCTATCACTCTTAAAAAAACATGTGAAACAGCAAAGGTATGCTGGAGATACCATTTCATGAAGCAGGAGTATGAAACAGCAAGAACAACAGTATGTTCAAAAGAAACAAAACAATGGTATTAATAGAAAATTAAATTCTTACCCTTGCATTTTGAGAATGTCAAATCTTTAGTAAAGCTCTAAATTGACCCTTGGGAATAGTCTTAGGGCGCTTTGCTGACCTCAATCAAGCCTAGACGACAATTGCATTAGCTTCAAATAAACCCATGCTATATATGATACATTTTGATTTTTTTTTTGTGAGACTCGTCTCATGAGGATCTGTTTCATAATATTGATAATTCGGGAAACAAGGATCGGAAAACCCCCAATTTATACAATCGTTAGATGAGAAAGCGGCAATGATATATGAACAGGTGGATTTTTTCAACTAGCAAGGGAATGATGATGTCGTTAGATGAGAAAGCGGCAATGATATATGAACAGGTGGATTTTTTCAACTAGCAAGGGAATGATGATGGTTGAAATAGATCTTAACAAATCAATATATGAACAGGTGGATTTTTTCAACTAGCAAGGGAATGATGATGGTTGAAATAGATCTTAACAAATCAACAAAAGCCTATAGCAAATATAATATAATATCAGACATATATAATAGCCAGTTAATTATCATTTCGAGGTCAATTACTAAACAGCAAGATTTGCAGGATGAATTTAAAATACAAGTAGATACGTGAATTAGCAAAGGATTATGATGGTTAAATCACCTTATAACAAATAAAACATAGTATTACATCAGAGTACTCTAATTCCTATAAGCATTCACTCAGATTGCCCAATTCTCGTGTATCCAAGATTACCAATTAAAAAAAAAGGGAGATCTTTTGCACAAAAGTATGAGATCAGAGACAATAACAAAAAGTTATAGAACTATCAGATCTCAGATTTGCAGGATTCACCTCAACCAGATCCGACGATGATGTTGTTGATGGGGATGAAGATGAGCTTGACGAAGAACCCAACGAATCCCATAACAACGAATCCGATCGCGGTCCGAAACGCCACTTTCGTGAACTCTGTGAGATCAAAACCAATCAAAATCAAAATCAAAATTGTGTGTAATTTGGATGGATCTAGTGATGATGATGACGATGATCGAGCTTACCCTTGCGATCTGGTTTGTGGCATCTCTTGACGAGGCGAACGCTGTCCTTCGCGAAATCGCGGAGGGGATCGACGACGGATTCAATCGCGTCCATGGCGAGGATCGGAGACTGAAACCCTAGATTCGAGACGAGAGAGAGCACGTGAAGGAAATTTGAGGCTTTAGAAAAGAGGCGGACCTGAAGAAGCCTGAAAGAGCGAGAAGGATTTTGTTTAAGCGGTCAATGGGCTTTACAAACTTAACTGTTATTAAGCCCAGGAACAATTATTTGATCTATGGCAACGTTTTTTATTAAATGTTGTATTAGGCATTGCAAACCGTTACGATAGATATCTAACGCAACAGTTAAAACCGTTGCGCCTTAACCGCTGCAACAGATCAATTATGTGGTAGTGACATTTGGGAACAACAGATTTGAGGGAGACCCGCGTTCTCGATAGTCAGATTCTATTAGGATGCAGGTATATCAGTTTTTAATATCTATGATTACATGTAATTTTATACATTTATTTTAATATATACTAGACCTTTATATATTAAATAGATGTAATGTTTCCAAATATTGGCAAACCTCCCCAAAGGGTCATAAAAACTTTTAATGAACGAGCTTGATCACATGGAAGATGAACAGGTATAAAATTATAAAATCTAACTATATTCAAGCAATATATCATATATTACTAATATGTAAATTTTCTTAATTTTCTTTAAAAGTCAAGTGGATGCCCTATGAACTGGTTTTAGCTTCACTAGTAGATATTTGCAAATATGGTGAAGATATTGGCATGCCCAAGTACCAATTATATGTCTTGAAATTGTCAAAATGCACATCATCAACATTAGGAGATAATTCGTCAAGAAGGAGCACATCATCAACATTAGGAGGTAATTCGTCAAGCTTACATTGAAAATTGGGAGTTGAGGGAGGGTGCTATAGTGATGGAGAGAGCTGACGCACCAGAACTAGATGTGTACTGACGTTGGTATTGAGGATTATTCACCAATGGATATTTCGGGAGAACAAAGCACCTAAGGAGTACATACCGAGAGGTTCAGTTAAGAGAGAGTTGGTAAGTATATAGGAAAAATATATAATTATTTTATGATTATTATTTTTATTATTATCTAATTACTAATAATCTTCTTTCGCTTTTTATCTTATAGGTACAATAACTCGATGAGGTTGCTTCTATTGCACATGATGCATTGCCGACCAAGTCGGGGGCAAGGAATGCATTTGTTCGCATCATAGCAAAGATTTGGTCCGCTCTTAGAAAGACGCGTCATGCAAATCATGATGGACGTCAAGAACGACTCATAGGGTATGAACGTCGACAGGTTCGAGGACACACGAGGGCAGGCTCAAGTCGTGCACATAACGAAGCCGGATGTTTATAGCATGTTCAAGCCAGATGTTCACAGCAGGTTCAAGTCGACGACGATGGCATGCGCTCATAAGTTCACACACAACCGGACGATGAGATCCTCCAAGCTTATGTTGAAGGCGAACGAGGAAGGGGGAGAGGAAGAAGAGGAAGAGCGAGAGGAAAGGGAGTTCTAAATATTTGCTAAATATCGATATTACTTGTTTTATGATGTTTATGTTTGAAATGCTAGTTGGACATTATGTTTATGATTGGATTTTTAGTAAGTGAATTACATGTTATTTTTTGTTAGAAATTGGTTATAGATGTAATATGGATATAAAGATATGTGTTTATTTGTGATTGAAATTGATTATGGATCGATATGAGAGTTTGTGTTAAACCGGGCAATTTTAGTTGAGGATTAATGTATGTTAGCAGGAGAGGAGATTTTTCAGCAAGTCTATGTGCTGGAAGGTCTCTGCCAAATGGCCAGGGTTAGGAACCCTGATCATTTCTATCCCCAGGGTGCACCGAGCCTGCCAAATAAATAGGGTTGCAAACCCTAACCAAAATATGGTCGGGGTTGGAAACCCCGACCAAAATGGTCTGGGTTTGCAACCCCGACTTCTTTTGCTCTGTTAATCACGCAAAGCTTCTAAGGTTGGCAAAGGTGCTCCTAATTAGTCAGGGTTAGCAACCCCAACTAATTAAGAATTTTATTTGTTTTAAAACGACCCAGTTTCTAGTCACGATACTGACTTGGCCAGAAACTGGATCGATTTATGTAATAAAGTTTGGAATGTGCCGATTTTTAGGATAAAAGTTTGGATTAGGCCTGTTTTGAAAATTTCTTCGAATAACAAACTTAACACCACCAAACAGTGTATCTTGGCAACGTTTATTGTACTCCAAGGTGACTTAACAAGCAACTCTACATGAGAAGGGTCCAATGAAAACTGTGAAAAATAGCAACAATATTCTTCTCCAGATAACAGAGAAAAGATCTCTTAAATTAGCAAAAACTCTACATTTGAACTAGAGACTAACAGCAAATATCTTGATGGGAAAATCGACATGAAACTATTGCATAAAATTGATCTAAAGCATATATAATCGACCCTAAAAGCCAATCATGTTAATGATGGCCAATGGCATAAAAAGAGTATTCCTCTACAAAGTTTAAATAATAGACAAAAAGGCAAAAAGTAAATAAAACCTTTTGTTCAAGATCAAGATACAATATCATAGTCGGAACTGTTATACTCAACTGGATGCCAGTCACTTGTCTCCTCATCAGAATTCGCCTTTTTCCTACATAGTAACTGCTCGATTGAGGAAATTGAAGAAAAATCCTGCTCAGTCTCTACCCGTGACAAAACTTTATACTCACTCGGCAAAATAATGTTGTCAGTATTTTGCGGTTCACTATAGCAAATGACATTAATGCTGCTAAGTTGTCGTCCGGGTTCAGTTGAAGCATCAGTTTCTCTCAGAACTAGAGATGTATCAAACCACCTGTCAATGTACTCGAAGCTTTTTGCTTGCTTCTTGGTACTTACTGAAGAAGAGCTCTCAGCTATAAGACTCTGGGAGTTAGAATTCAGTAGACTAAGCTCATTCTGTTGAGTATTGATCTCCTTGTCATTATTCATCAGGGAAGAGCTCTCAGCTGCGTGCATCCTCTTCTTCAAATTCATGTGCATCTCTTCCACAATCTGGAACAAAGAAAGAGAGAAAGAGTTATTCTAACTGCATTACACATGTAAAAACAACCCGTGGCCAACTCTAATAAATTCTCTTATGAAACCTATACTACGTTAATAGTGGAATGTGCCCAAGGGGGAAAAACTTTCGATAATGGTAGAAGAAGGGAAAATAAAAAGGAAGCTTCCGAGCTGTAGTACACAAGCGGTACACTGTATTCAAAATGAAAAACTTAACCATCTAAATTTAGAAACAGCCATCGACAAAGAAGAAACAGCTTCAAGAGTGATTTAATTGCTTTGAGAAATATGTTATTGATTGATTACTCTTGCTGATGATCATAAATGGTTCTTGGAAGAAAGACAAACTTAGTAGGAGAAAATAAAATGTTAGGGTGCAGTCGGACAATTTTATTGTGTTGAATTTGGTGTGATGCAACTAATGAAAAGAGAGAAAAATAGGTAGTAAAATAAACTGGGAACTAGAGTGAATTAACTTAAGTCAATGCAAGAAACCAACATTCCAAGCCTTTTCACCGTGAGAATGAGGACTCTCTTATAGGGTGCAGAATTAACAACACAGAAGAATATTGTTTTAGATCTTGACTACCAGATGTCTGATTTTACCTACAACCCTCAAAGAGAAGACATAATGCAAATAAATATCTAGAAATGGAGATGAAGATGAAGACATAGAGAAGGAAAATTTTCCATCCAGCGATACAACTGAGCTTTCTCGGACAGAGTTAGAGAAACCATCAGGAAAAGGAAAATATTCTGTAGATACATGTTACACTATTTCAATTTTTATCATCTTTTATCTACACCATATATTTTACGTCTCGTATTACGTTTTATAAGCTCAAACCCTCAACTAAGACCACAAGAAATTGGAAAAGGAAGGAGGAGGAGGAGGAGGTTATGACTGATTCAAGGTTAGGGTAATGTTCCCTCCTTAGTGTAAAGTGACTCTTTCTTACATGCAAGGTGATTGATCCATCAACACTCATGCAGATGCATATAGCTAGCATCTTAGTTACATCCAATATATATCAAACAGAATGAAGCTATGAACTATAAGTAGAAATAGAACCTGGTCAATTATGTGCCAAATCATAAATGCAAACCTAAACTCAATCTCAGATCAAAATTAAATTCAACATAACTCAAAATTAAATTAAATTGTGTCCACAGATCAAAATATAAGTGGAAATTCTTGTGGCCATTTCCTTTACAGGGCTTAGATTAGCTATGTGCAGTTGAAGAGGAATATATATCCCAATGAAACAAAGTTTGTCTACTACATTTATGAAATTCACACAGTTAAGAACAAGCAGTACAATAAATGAAGTATCAACTTCACGGAACTTACATAATTTTGAACTTAAGCACGCAATTCTCCTTATTTTGCATGTAAGCAAAAAGGAGCAGTCTGCTATGTTTCTCTACAATGGTTGCTAAATATTGTGAGCATTAGATAAGCGCAATTATTGAAAAACAATGAAAATCCAAGAAAGTCTGTGATTAAGGACGAGTTTGAGTATGGTCTAGTTGGTTGAATTATAAGATGCAATCATGAATTCAAAACAAAATTTCCGTAATACATGGAGAATTAAAGTCTTGCCTGTTCAGTTGATAAAAACTCAGATTCAAGATAATTCAACCTTGGATGCAAAAGTGCAAAGTATATCTTCCAAAACCTTTGCTCAGTCATGACAGTTGGACAAAGACTTATCTTGAGTGCTGCTAAACTTGGAGCCACATGTTCGACATTTGCAATATGGTCTCTTTGATTACTTGACATATGAAAATCTGCCCAAAAAAAAAACATATAAGCAGATTTTTTTTTTGGGTCTATTTCATAAAGGTTTATCACTATACCGATGATTAAAAGTATGAGTACTCTCCAGGACTGATTAAAGAAGTAGTAGTTATTTCTCCCAACAATACCAATAATATCACTTTGCGCAAGCAGTAGTGGCATGATTTCAGCAGAATATTAACACATACATTACCTTGCAAGATTGAAAATGGAAAACGAAGAATTTGATGAAAACATTGACAAACTACATATTACTTTTTGAGTTTAAGTTTTGAAAATCTAGATAATGCCAAAGGAAATTATTTTAGTATCCATTAAAGGTGCATGCACTTAGAGTTAGAAATTTCATGGCAAGAGAATGGCTCACCATTAAAAGAGTTGCAAGCTTTCCGAAACTGCTAATAGAATACAGTCCAACATAAAACATCCATTATATGGTCCTTCAGGCTACAGGTATCATATGGTCATAGAATTACCTAGTCCCCAACCTTAAAAAGCAACAACAAAACTATTATCACAAAATTTTGGGATCGGCTATTTGAATCCTATTCTTCCGTTCCTTTTTATTAATCTTATCCCTCCATTAAGTTATCCAGTATCATATCATTTTATCCCTCCATTAAGTTAACCAGTATCATATCATTCTTACATGCTTCCAATCAAGTTTTCTTAGGCCTATCCCTAACTGTACTTGCTCCATTGATTATTATCTTATCACTTCCCCCAATAAGAGCATTAATA